GTAATAACGTTTTCCCCTTGTGAAGGATAATTAATTAATTTGAAACTTTTAAAACCATTTATTTTACATTCAACATCATCACTTGATAAGACACTGGAGGTGTTGAAACAAAATGGCTCTTTTTGTAGTGATTTTATAACAAATTTATGTTATAATTTTTTAAATAAATAATTATATCTGCTCTACTCTGTATTGAGCACTCTTTTAAGAATAGTAATTGTTGGTTATTGGAATTCATTCCGTATACACCAATTACACTAATATAATATTAATTACCCTTTAATATACTTGGGTATATATATATATATATATATATATATATATATATATATATATATATATTTTTTTTTTTTTTTTCCTGTAGAGCTGAATTTCTTTAATGTAATTTATGATGTTACTTGCATCGATATTTTAAATAGATCCTTTTAAGTTATCTGATTTGTAGAGTTTGATTCCGTGTGCTGTATCCCTTTAGGATGTAGGCGATCATGGCTCTCCACTTTCCCCTATCCCTTGCAGCTCTCAACACGTTCTGTTCCTCTACCACCTCCCCCAGACCATGTTCTGTCATCCACTTGCTTAAGCCTACCAGGTATGTCGTGTATTGCTTTCCCTTGTCTCTCTTTCCCTCTATTCGTCCTGTGAGTATCAGATTCTCCAAGCTCTCCTTTCTCATTACGTGTCCCAGAAATTTCAGCTGCCTCTTACTATCACTACCAGTCTGTTATCCATTTATAAAAATTTGTTACAGAAGTTATTGTATTCATTTGTCCCTCTTGCTTTCAATAAATCTTGAGAGTGTTAAATTCTCCACATCTTCTTTCTTTATTATATGTCTCAGAGACTTCTCTTTCTGATTTGTTCCAATTTTCTTTAAAAATTCCTTGTTTTGTTTCATCTGTAGTATTCTCAGTATCCTTCTGTAGAACAACATCTCTGTTGCCTCAAGTCTCCTCTTCATCTAAAAGGAATTTGTCTAGTATTCACTGCTATATAGGAGGACTGATTCTTGAACATGGATATGCTATGTCAGTGGTTCCCAAGCTGTGTAGCGCACATCACAGGCATGGCAGAATTGAAAGACAATCAAAGATTTCAAAACAGTTTAAAAAAATTCATATATGAAAAATAAATATTTCAAAATTAAAAATTTCAAATTGCATAAATTAATAAAAAGTATATATTTATTTATTCTTCATTTAAGATAAATAATTCATAAGGAAGAGACAGATGAAATTTCTAAGACACATAATGAGAAAGGAGGGCTTGGAGAATCTGATACTCACAGGTTTAATAGAGTAAAAAAGAGACAAGGGAAAGCAACGCATTGATATACATAGCAGGAATAAGCAAGTGAATGGTAGAACGTGGCCTGGAAGAGTTGGCAAACGCACAGAACTTATTGAGAGCTACAAGAGATAGGGGGAAGTGGATATCTATGATCGCCTACATTCTGAAAGGGCATGGCACATAAAAAGAAAAGAAAAGTATTATCCCATCCCAATGTTTGTGCATGGGTTTCTGGAAAAATCCCTGAATTCAGATAACTCTGTAAAAAATCTGATTTTTTTCCCTGTCATTTTATTTATATTAGGAACAAGACCCCAATTCTAAATCGATAAAAAAACAATTTTTATTCTGCCCTGAGGAAAGTCTGGTGATAGTTAATCTGCAAAAATTATTCCTTGAAAAATGTTACTCTCTTTTTATGAGTGGGACCAATCTATTTAATTAGTGTCACAAGATGAAACAAACGCCTGTCAAAATTAATAGTTTAAATCAGTGGTTCACAAATGGTGCATTGTGCCTCATAGATGTGGTGCAAAAGGATATCAGGTGAGAATAATTGAAAGACAATCAAAGATTTAGAAACAGTTTTAAAAAATTCATATGCCAAAAATAAATATAATTTCAAAATTTAAAATATTATTATGGATTACTTGTAATTGCATGCATGAGTCCCAGTATAAATAGTTATAAGTAACTATTGACCAATTTTATCATTGAAATTTTTGCATTATATCAAGTATTAAGAATACAGTTATTAGGGTCTGCAAATTAGAGGAGAGAGTTATTAATGATAATGTTCTGACTTCAAATCCGCAGTTATCTCCCTTTAACTCTCTTTCTATTTTTTATTTTTAAATGTATTTTCTATCATAAAATTTGGTGAGGTGTAAGCAAATTTTCATTCTGAAAATACAGCCCAGAGAAATAAGTTTCTGAACCATTGTTATATGTGCATATCTAAAAAAAAAAACAAAAACAAAAAAAAAACTGATCTGTTAAGAAAATTCTGAATAAGGATTTGGAATCAGCATATTTGATTTAGTTCTGTACATTATTTGTCTGGGTAGGAAACAGAAAATTCTCTCCTGACTTCAGTGTTACAATTTTGACCTCGACAAGAACCAAACCTTGAATTGTTGATTAACACTAATTAAAAAAAAAGAAAAAAAATCATTACCATTTCCTGGTCCTAATTCAGTTTCATTTAATTAAACAACCTAAGTAGAGTAGAATTCTAGGTAAAACAGAAAATTACATTTGCTGTAACAAAGAGACAATGTCAATAGCTCCAAAAGTTCATTAACGGCTAAAGAGAATGTGTGTAGAAATGAGAAGGGGGGGGGGGTATCGTAAAATAAAAAGACAAAAACTTTTAACTTTGTATAAAAGAAAAAAAAGAAGAAAAACTGACAGCTTCTATGGCCAAAAAACAAACTTGCGGCTTCTAGGGCCAAACAAAAAAACTAAAAACTTGTAGCTTCTAGGGCCAAACAAAAAAAAGCTCATGGCTTCTAGGGCCAAACAACAAACTTGCAGCTTCTAGGGCCAAACAACAAACTTGCAGCTTCTAGGGCCAAACAACAAACTTGAGGCTTCTAGGGCCAAACAACAAACTTGCGGCTTCTAGGGCCAAACAACAAACTTGCAGCTTCTAGGGCCAAACAACAAAGCTTCTAGGGCCAAATAACAAGCTTATGGTTTCTAGTTCCCAAAAAACAAACTTTCAGGTTTTTGGAATAACAACCACTTAATGGAGAAATAAAGCTCAGGACAAATGTCAACCCGTTGTTTCAATGTCTCAGAGATGATAGGATGTAGGTTTGAGAGGATTAATTAGCTATTTAGAGATAAAACAACATTTTTAATTAAAATTCTATTTAATTTATTCTAAAAGCAAATAATTTCTTATAGAAAATTCTTCTCACCAATAGTATCAAGCTTTTATTCAATGGAGCATGCATGCACAAATGACAAGAAATATAGAAAACGTAAGAGCTACTTTTTAAACTGATGAAGGAAACCGAAATGAAAAATGAAGGTGGAAGAACTTGAATTTAGATTTTTCTATTATTTATCTCTAAATGTAAAAAAACATTTGGATCTAATCGTAGGAACTAATTCTGCTTAAATAGACAAAGCAAGAAATTTTTTTTTTTGTCAATTTTTGGTTTAAGCAAGTAACAGTCACTGAGGTTAAGCAATGTTAATCCCAGTCAGTATTTATATGGGTGACTGCTTAGGAATACCAGATGCTGTAAGCTTCGATGTGCTGGTGGCATAATGGATAATCTCAGTGTTGGAAATTGGAGAGTCAAGATCCAATTCAAGTTGGGTTCATTACATTCACTTATGCACAAAGTAAAGGTTTGAATCCACCACTTCTCCCCCAGCTATGGGTTAATTAGTAAGACATATCACTAAATCAATTATTATCTCAAAAAAAAAATTCTTAAAATCTAAAAATATATTCTGGATTTAAATTACCTACGAAGCCATAGAAAACAGATGAGTCAATCAAAAGACTATGGTTTTCTAGGATCAATGGTTAAGAAAGGTTTTGAATTAGTGAAATTTTAATAAAGACTTCAAACTTCATGCTGTTGACACTACAGAATCACAAAGAACTGTATCAAATAATAGAAACCACATCATTTGAGGATATTCAATAATGGCAACAACTAATGGATCGCACTTCTTGGAAAGAAAATAATGATATATGTTAACATTCCACACTACTTTAAACAAAAGGTTAGGAAGGAAACCGTCATCAATATTGGAAAAAGCAATAATAGGTAGCAGACTTGAGAAACTGATTTCCCTGAATAATTGTTACAATTGATTTTATAAATTTAAACTGATGGTAGCTATGAATGCAGAATATTTCTTGATAAGCAAATGGCTAATATTACCATTAACATTACACTTTAAAGCTTTGCACTTAATTTCACACCAGACTAAGAAAGCCAGATGAGGTTACTCCTTGCGACCAAATGCAAAATCCTAAGAACTGTTGTCAGTGGTGACCCCAGGATGTGAACACCTGTAGATCTAGATGTGTCTGATAATCTGATAGAAATCACTGGACAGATGGATATATAAACAAACGCTTCAGATATAAAGAGTTGGATAATCTTTCAGAGAATATTATAATTGATTGATTGATTCATTTTTTATGGGTTATCAACCTTTTGCAGGTTATTTAAAGCCAAAAAATATTTTTTTAATTCTAAGAATTTTTTAGAGATAATAATAATTTAATGATATAGTCAGTTATGTGCCATGAGTGATACATGCTTAGGCGATCATGTATCTTTCAATACATGACTGATGAGGCAGAATTTTTTCCTGCAGTTGGTTGCCATTTCTTTCTACAGTTGTCATCCAAGGCTATAGAACCCAGTCTGTCCTGCTATTTACCCATAGCTGGGGGGGAGAAGAGGATTCATACCCTTCGTATTAGCACGTAAGTGAATGTAATGGATTCAATTGGAATTCAAACTCGGCTCTCTGATTCCTCGATTCAAGCTGTTATCCATTACTCTGTCATAAATGATATAAGCCTTACTAATTAACCCATAGCAGGGGTGTGAATAGGTGAACACCAAGAGTATTTGCACATGTGAATATAATGTACCCAACTTGAATTATAAACTTGGCTATCTGATTTTCAATTATGAGTCATTATCAATTATATCAACAGCACATTGAAGCTTACAGCACCTGGCATTTTTAAGTGGTCACCCATCTAGGTACTGATCAGGTTCAACATTGCTTAACTTCAGTGAATGGACGAGAACCAGTGTTTCAACATATGTCCATAAGCTCATTATGCCATATGCACATCCAAGTTTACAGCACCTGGTATTCCCAAGAGGTTACTCATCTAGTTACTGACCAGGTAAAGTTGCTTAAATTCAGTGATCGCATGAGATCTAGTGTTTCAACGAGATATGCCTGTAAACCAGATGGAAAAAATAAAATCCATATGCAGTTGAATTTGTGGAGATGCTCACATACACCGTGAAAGTTTAAACAAATGTATTAAAAATGTAATCTCTATATATAAAACAGAGAATGTATGTGTGTCTGTCTGTGTGATACCTTTTCACTTGAGAGCCAGCCAACCGATTTTGACCATACTTGGCATATACATTATACAATGTAAGAGATAGATTCTTAGCAAAAAAAAAAAATCTATAAAATTCAACTTTTATCCTTCAATTTCATTCAAACTCAGTATTGAAATTTCTAGCATATAAGGGAAGAAGGCTTGGAAAATTTGATACTCACAGGACAGATTAAAGGTGAGAGGGACAGAGGAAAGCAACACACAAAATACGTGGCAAGTTTGAGCAAATGGATGGCAGACCAAGGTTTGGGAGAGATGGCAAAAAAGCTAAAAGTTATCAAGAGCTACAAATGACAGGAAATTGTGGAGAGCCATCATCGCCAATGTCGTGAAGGGACAGGGCATATAGAAGAAGAAGAAGAAGAAGAAGAAGAGATGTAAGTAAAGTTTTAACTTAATTATTTTCAAGAAGAGAATCTATGTTAATCTTTTTCTCTCTCTATCTATTTATCAATCTATATTTTCTCATTTTATGTTCATCTTTTTCTCTATCTTTTTATCTCTTTATCTCTTAATCTATCTCTTTATCTATCTATCTCTTAATCTATCTCTTTAGCTAGCTATCTACCTATCTCTTAATCTATCTATGTTCATTTTTCTCTTTCTATCTAACTATTTTGTAAGAGAAAAAAAATTTGATGACAAAACAATGTCTTTTGCAACTTGTGACCTAAAATGTCTTTTTTGCATGTTACGCAAGAGAAATCAGTGTGATGATCGGTAGTTAAGAATTAATGTAATTGTTACTGACAGAACAGGGCTATTATATGCATGAGAGAGTGCTGAAAAGTTCTTGGCCCTGGCCCACTTCCAGAAAGTCTGGCCAAATATCAGAAGCTTTTTTTCTCAAATTTGTTTCAGCTGTAAACTTTTCAGCATCCACCTCATATAAGAAATAAACATTATTGAAATACACTATAAATGAGGAAAAACAGGATTATTTTTTTTACAATAATATTAACCTTGTACGAGGCCCAAGAGCCACTTGAACTAGAGGTAAAAGTTACAATTTACTAGGATACATGGAGAAGATAATGGTTAGCACTAGACTTGAACAGGTTAAGACTGTAGTGATCAGAGAAGCATTCTCTTGGAAGTCAGTTCTACAGAGTAACAAAATAAAACTCACAGGATAGATTGAGGGCAAGACATAGGAAAACAGTGCATAACACACTTGATGACTTTAAGTAAATGGATGGAAGAAAGAGCTACGAAGGATAGGAAATTGTGGAGAGCCATGACTGTCTACATTCTGAGGCATGTAAAGAAGAAATACTGAACAGTTACACTATATCAGTCTTTATATATGGCAGTGAATGCTGGACCATTTTTGCATAGATGAAGAGAAGACGTGATGCAACAGAAATGTGGTTCTACAGAAGGATGCTGAGAATACCATGGACTGAACATGTGAGCAACAACAAAGTTTTAGAGAAAATGGAAACAAAAAGGATACTTATACTTAACATCAGGAAGAGAGTTGAAATTTTTAGCACATAGGAAGGACAGAGGGCTTGGAAAATTTGATACTCACAGAACAGACTGAAGGTAAGAGGGACAAGGGAAACAATACATAACATACTTAGTGAGAGTTTGAACTTTTCAGCATCCAACTCATATAAGAAATAAACATTATTGAAATAAACTATAAATGAGAAAAAAACAGGACTATTTTTTTTTTACAATAATATTAACCATGTACGAGGCCCAAGAGCCGCTTGAACTAGAGCATTACAGAGGTAAGAGTTACAGTTTATGAGGATATATGGAGAAGATAATGGTTAGCACTAGACTTGAACAGGTTAAGATTGTCGTCATCAAAGAAGCAGTCTCTTGGTGGAGCAAGGTTTTGGGGTGATAGCAAAAAGACAAAATTTATTAAGAGCTACAAATGACAGGAAATTGTGGAGAGCCATGATTGGGTATATCCTGAAGGGACATAGCTCACAGAAGAAGTATTTTCATTCTCAGTGGACTGTTTTTTCTACCCACAAAACCTATTTTACTCAAAATCTGCTTATGACCTATACACTAAAAGTATGAGGACCAGTGTTGCTCAGATGTCTATGTGGGTAAAGAATTTAGTGGGGGGGGGATCAGTGGTGATATAGTGATTAAGTCATTTAAGAAATACAGGATCAGTATCACAATGCATTGGATCAAGAATGACATTTTCTTTGGTCATAATATTGAATCCAGTGATGAAATGAAAACAAAAAGGACACTTTTACCTACCATCAAGAAGAGATGGTTGAAATTTCTAGGGCAAATAATGAGGAAAGTGGGCTTAAAAAATTTGACACTCACAGGGCATGTTGAAGGGAAAAAGGACAGAGGAAATCAGTTTGTGTTAATCATTGTCAGAACAGGGATTAGATAGCAGAAAGACAAACATTACTAAGAGCTAAAAAGGACAAGAAGTGGACAGCCATGATTATTCATGTCCTGAAGGGAGATGGCACATCAAAGAAGAAGATGAAGTGTGATTCCTTTACAAACAACTTTGCAAGTTTTGAAAGCAGTTAAATAACAGTGAACAATTTTTTCTTATTTACAGTATTTTAACTTTATATCTCTCTCTCTCTCTATATATATATATATATATATATATATATATATATATATATATTTATATATATATACACATCACACTGAATTTATATATGCATACTAACTTTTGTAAAATCTTCGGACACACTGGGTTGTAGATTAATATTCTTTCATTTTTTTATTATTATTTCATTTAGATTCCTCGACTAGTTTCAGCCAAAATGGCCATCATCGGGAGGAGAAATATTTCTGCTTGCTGGTAGCAGTAAACTACATAAATGAATGTCTTGATGGAGAAAATGAACTTTTGTCTGTAGTTTTCATTTGTTTTTTTTTTTTTTTATCTTTTTAACATGAATCTTTTAACATTCCTTGTGTTTATATATATATATATATATATATATATATATATATATATATATATATATATATATATATATCACACACTGTAACCTTTGACTTTTGAATAAAAAAATTGAATAAAAATTCAGTATGTATGTGACTCCAATATGTATATATATATATATATATATATATATATATATATGTATATATACTAAGTTTTTCTTTGCCTTTTAAAATAAGAGAGTGTGCCATACACCTGTACATGTTATACTAAAAACAAAAGTAAAAAGAAACAATAAATATCAAGAATACTTTAAAGTGCATTTATTTATCTTACAATGATAAATGTAACTTACAAAAATAATATCTAGTATACAAAATTGCATTTGATTGAATAAATATTTTTCAAATTTTCAAATTTGTATTATTCTCCAAAATAAATATTTCAAATTTGCCTTTTTTAGAAAACCTTAAGCACTCTGCATTATTAATATTACTTCCCTTTCCACTGCATTCTTTTTCAAGGCCTCTCAATTGCAGTTTACTTATTGTTAATTTCACTCAAAGTTGTTTTCTGTTGCCTTAGCAGGATATGACAACACAACTATAAAATTTAAACACACAATTGTTCAAGGATCAGTGGTAGGATAAACTTATTTTTGTACAGCAAATGAAATCACAAAGTGGTGAACTAGAAACTGAAATCAAAATCCTTGTTAATATTATTGATAAATGCTATATTTATTTTAACTCCAGAAAAAAATGCTATGTTTAATTCTGAAATGAGATTTATGTTGCAAATCAGTGAAACGTTATGGCAGGCTGATGTAAACAACTATTTTGTACTCATCTACAACATAATTAGAAAAGTTCTCAACATTTTTTGTTTGTCTGGTAATAGCATTAGCTTTTATTAAATGAAGCTTTGGCAACCAGTTTTAATTTGGGGCTAAAATTTATTTCACTTTAATTTCAGTTGCTTTTTAAATTAAGCCCAAAATTTATCATGTTTGCTGATTAAAAAAATTATGGTACCATACGAAAAAAAAAAAAAAAATAAAAGCAATGATGAAATAAATTGAAATTATTTTAGTTCCTTTTTGTTTTCCAAGTAAATTTCAAGTTAACAGCTTTTAAAAATATTAATTGAATCTTTCTTTGTCCTGGAGATTCAAAATCATGAATCTCTTTTTTTCTTTTTAATTCATGCATAACAATTTTGTACAATTAAAAGAAAAAAGAAAATAGAGAAAGAGAGAGGAGAAAAAAGCCAATAGAGAAAGAGAGAGGAGAAAAAAGCCAATAGAGTGAGAGAGAAGATAAAAGACAGTAGAGTGAGAGAGAGAGAGAAGACAGTAGAGAGAGAGAGAAAAAAAGACAGTAGAGAGAGAGAAAAAAAGACAGTAGAGAGAGAGAGAGAGAGAAAAGACAGTAGAGGGAGAGAGAGAGAGATAAAAAAAGACAGTAGAGAGAGAGAGAGAAAAAAGACAGTAGAGAGAGAGAGAGATAAAAAAGACAGAGAGAGAGAGAGAGAGAAAAAAGACAGTAGAGAGAGAGTGAGAAAAAAAGCAGTAAAGAGAGAGAGAGAAGATAAAAGACACAGTAGAAAGAGAAGATAAAAAAGACAATAGAGAAAGAGAGGGGAAAAAATAGAGAGAGAAGAGAAAAAAGACAATAGAGAAGAGATAGAAACAATAATTAGAGAAGAGAAAAAGTCAGTAGAGAGAGAGAAAAGAAAAAGGACAATAGAGAGAGAGAAAAGAAAAAGGACAATAGAGAGAGAGGAGAAAAAAGACAATAGAAAGAGAGAGAAGAGAAAAAGACAATAGAGAGAGAGAAAAGAAAAAGGACAATAGAGAGAGAGAGGAGAAAAAAGACAATAGAAAGAGAGAGGAGAAAAAGACAATAAAGAAAGAGAGAGGAGAAAAAAGACAATAAAGAAAGAGAGAGGAGAAAAAAGACAATAGAAAAAAAGGAGAAAAAGACAATAGAAAAAAGGAGAAAAAGACAATAGAGGTAGAGGAGAAAAATTTCAATCGAAAAAAGGAGAAAAAAGACAACAGAAAAGAAACAGAAAAAGACAATAGAAAATAAAAGAAAAAACAGAAAAGGAGAAAAAGACAATAGAAAAAATAGAAGAGAAAAAAGAGAAAAGCAGAAAAAGAGAAAAAACTGAAAAAGAGTAAAACGGAAAGAAATATTAGAAAACGAAAAAACAGAAAAAGTAAAAAAATAGTCAAAAAAAGAAAAAAAACAGTAGTTAAAGAATTGAACAACAACAACAGAAAAATTGTAAAACAAGAAATAGAAAGTGATAAAAAAAAAGAAAACAGAGAAAGGAAAAGAAAAACCCAACCGAAAAAAAAGACCATATAAAAGAAAAGAATAGAACAAGACAAGAAAAAAACAACAGATAAAGAAAAGAAAAAACAATAAAAAGGAAAGGAAAAAAAACAATCATAAAATAAAAAATAAGAAAATAGCAAATCCAATCTTAAAATCTCTTAAATAACAATGATAATAATAATCTCTTAAATAACAATGATAATAATAATCTCTTAAATAACAATGATAATAATCATAGTCTACAATATTTCTGTTGACTCCAATCATTCAAAATTCAATGACATGTGGCAGCACTGTCAAAAAGAATATGTTAATAATACTGAAAAATAAATAACTTACCAATTCTTTTCTTTTTAAGGGGAGATGGTCTGAGGCAGTGTTGCCCACAATCTGGTTTAAGCCTCCCGAGTTTGGTAAGACATATAATAGCGAGGGAATCACCAAAGTGTAAGGCAGTGAATGTCTGACTTGAGCCATACTAGCGGCAGAATAATAGTTAGAATGCGATGACATAGCAGTGTGCCAATGATTGGGACGACTAGTTAGAGCTAAAGGCAAATCAATCAAACCAACAGTGTATGAATAGCAATGCTTAAGACGTTGGTAACCTCTGACTATGCTTAAGCTGTTATCAAATAAGAAGGTCAGAAGTGAGTGCCACAAAAAACATGGAAATATTTAGACTGGACTGATATACATTTGAAAATAGAGTTTTGCTCTTGAAAAACTTAGTTGACTGCCAGTGACATTTGCTTGTCTGCCCGGAGAGTTCTTTAGATATTGTCAAGCAGACAGTGTTAATGGGGGGAGACAGCTATGAACAAACGTAACCTTGCGTTATGCCAAATATAGGTCTTAAGCCGGTTGAAGTCGTTTGCACCTCATAACAGGATGTAATCAAGGTCTTTGTTTATAGAGGTCGTAAATGTTGGTTCTCCCTATGGTCAGGGCTGGGATGAAGGCTGGTCGTTTATGGTGGGTGATGGAAGCAGGGTGGAGAGAGAGAGAGAGAGAAAAAGAGAGAGAGAGAACAATAAATAAGCAGATGGAACAAAAGACACGAGCGGGTACTTGGAAATGTGGTGGAACCCTTCCAAATTACTGTGCAACAGAGAGCAGGAATAGTGAATGGCAATGAACATGATGTAAGGAAAAAACTTTGCCCAAAACCACCACAGTTCTTGACATATAAAGACAGCTCTGATATTTTAAAGATTAAGGTAATATTTTTGTTTCTATTTAGATTCTGAAGAAAGGACTGACTGCATTTGTTATAAACAGAGGAAAATAGCATTTACAGTTGGCATTAAACAGTATATTCTTTTTTTGCATTGCTGGATATTTTTAGAGAACAATAATTCAGAAGTGGAGAAATAAAAAACAAAATGGAGACCTGTCAAAAAACTCAAACATGAAGAAATGAAAAACCTGGAAACTCAAAATAGCAATTTTCTAATTGTATTTAAGAGAAATAATTTCAAATGATTGAGCATCAATATGAATATAACTCTAAAATGAAAGGAAAGTCTCTAAGTACAATTAAAATATTGAGATATATGTACGTGTGAGTATCTATGTCTATTCTTGATATATACACACACTCACACATGCATACATATATATATATGCACAAACATATATACATATATACACACACTTATATACATATATACATACACACACACTTATATACATATATACAAAAACACACATATATACATACACACACACTTATATACATATATACAAAAACACACATATATACATACACACACACTTATATACATATATACAAAAACACACATATATACATACACACACTTATATACATATATACAAAAACACACATATAAAGATACACACACATATATATACATATATACAAAAACACACATATAAACATACACACACATATATATACATATATACAAAAACACACATATAAACATACACACACATATATATACATAAACATATAATCAATACATACATACATATATATATATATATATATATATATATATACACACATATATACATATATATATATATATATAATATATATATATATATATATACACATATATACATATATATATATATATATATATACATACATATATACTCACAAATATACATACATGTACACACATACATACATAAACACACATACATATATACATATATATTCCTATATACAAACATATATACACAGATACATAACCATACACATAACCATATATACATGCACCTAAACCTATATACACACTGATGCATAAACATATATACACACAGATACATAAACATATATACACACAGATACATATACACACATACATACTTATATACATACATATATGCTCACACATATGTATATCCATATACACACAGACACACATATACGCACATATATATACACACACATACATATATACACCAACACAACCACACACACATTATATATATATATATATATATATATATATATATATATAAAGATTACATTTTTTCCAACACACTCAAAATTTTGGGAAGATATCATTTTAAGCAAGTAGTCTTTGTAGTTAATAGTGTACCTCTATCAAAATTTAACATCAATATGAATAAAAAAAAAAAGAGTTCTGTTACCTTGTCTTCAAAGTGAACCTTTATTGTTTTTATGATATATATGTGTGTGTGTGTGTGTGTGTGTGTGTGTGTATAAACTTCACTTAAATCAATTATTAGACAAAATTTAAAATTTTTAAAAAGAGCTCAATACTGAAGCTGTTTTATAAATGAAGAAAAAAAAATGTCACTTAAAAAAAAAAAAATGTCACTTAAAAAAAAAATCAAAAAGAAAGTCTCTTACAAAAACAAAAAAAATCTTGTTAAAAAAAATTGCAACAAAGAAAAAATATATTGTATAAAAATATCACCTATGTTTTCCCCGTTAATAAAAATGTCCTTTTCATATACAAAAATCGAACAAAATATCCTTTATTTGCTTCAAGTTTTCCAAACTGGCAAATATAAAGATCAGAGTATTTACATCATTGTAATGAAGAGCTTAAACAACAGCTTTCTAAACTGGTGTCTTACGATACTTAATGTAATTAATTAGGCGTTCATTCTATAATTATTACCTTCATTTTTCACTGAATTTTTTTTCTTTTCATATACACTTCGAATCATATAATTGTCTTAGCAAACCAAAACTTATGTTACTGTAAAAAAAAAAAAATTAAAAGAATTTTAAAAAGTGTGTCACCAATACTAAACATTTGTAAAGTGTTGACTTGAGGCATTTAATCAACTAACATATACGAACTTTGATAATTGTTTTTTTAATTGCCTACCATTTAAAGAATTGAACTCGACTCCTACCTGCTCATCCATATCCATTTTTTTCTTCTGGAATTTTTGCAATGTGCAAAGTTTTTCTTTACATGGCCATCCAAGATAGGAACAGTAAAGTTTACAAGAATCTTTTTCATTCAGATGAAGACAAGGAGGTTTTGGGATGCATCCACATTGGAGAGCTGACTTGCCGCTAACCAAAGTCTGCCCACCTCGGGTTCTTGCACATATTAAAGATGTACAGTGCCAAGCATGGGAAGCTAGCAAGCACTGATGATGAGAGAAGGCCTGCACATCTGTCTGTTGACAGACATGGCCATAATGTAAACTGTGGGTTTTCTCCCGGCACATCATGTGACAGGCAGACAGCACACTTCATACCTCAGTAAAAGGTTGCACACTCAAATGCAGAAGAATTGGGTCCTCTAAGACAGACTAATGAACCTGTTAATTAGGAGCTGTACATTTTCAAACTAGTCATGTCCATTGCTGTAATTTGTTAATTACAAGAACTGTCAGCTACAAACAAAAAAAAACAAAGACTTTGTCAGGGGAATTATTTTCCTGAATGTCTCAAACAATTAGTTTTGATTAATCACCATTTAGATAAGGTTTAACAAGTTTACTTCATTTGAACAAAGACCTCCATTCCATGACATTCTTAGGTATCAAATAATCATAGAGGTGAACATGTCTATATTTCTGAGATGAGGTATTATGTACACTATTTACATTATTCAGACTATTGTCCTCATCTTTGTTGCCATATTTATTACAACGTTTCGGCCTTTCAGTATCTGTCTATATTTCTGAGATGAGGTATTATGTACACTATTTACATTATTCGGACTATTGTCCTCATCTTTGTTGCCATATTTATCACAACGTTTCGGCCTTTCACTATCTGTCTATAATTCTGAAATGAGGTATTATGTACACTATTTACATTATTCAGACTATTGTCCTCATCTTTGTCGCCATATTTATTACAACGTTTCGGCCTTTCAGTATCTGTCTATATTTCTGAGATGAGGTATTATGTACACTATTTACATTATTCGGACTATTGTCCTCATCTTTGTCGCCATATTTATTACAACGTTTTTCGCCTTTCAGTATCTGGGTCTATATTTCTGAGATGAGGTATTATGTACACTATTTACATTATTCGGACTATTCTCCTCATCTTTGTTGCCATATTTATCACAACGTTTCGCCTTTCAGTATCTGTCTATATTTCTGAGATGAGGTATTATGTACACTATTTACATTATTCAGACTATTGTCCTCATCTTTGTCGCCATATTTATTACAACGTTTCGCCTTTCAGTATCTGTCTATATTTCTGAGATGAGGTATTATGTACACTATTTACATTATTCAGACTATTGTCCTCATCTTTGTCGCCATATTTATTACAACGTTTCGCCTTTCAGTATCTGTCTATATTTCTGAGATGAGGTATTATGTACACTATTTACATTATTCAGACTATTGTCCTCATCTTTTGTCGCCATATTTATTACAACGTTTCGCCTTTCAGTATCTGTCTATATTTCTGAGATGAGGTATTATGTACACTATTTACATTATTCAGACTATTGTCCTCATCTTTGTCGCCATATTTATTACAACGTTTCGCCTTTCAGTATCTGTCTATATTTCTGAGATGAGGTATTATGTACACTATTTACATTATTCAGACTATTGTCCTCATCTTTGTCGCCATATTTATTACAACGTTTGACGCCTTTCAGTATCTGTCTATATTTCTGA